CCCGTCATGTTTTCATTATTATCATTATCAAAGTATTTTTAAACAATTATTTCTTGATATTTTTACGGTGTGTTTTAACCTTCATTAGTTGTTATTTTCCACAAAATGGTTGGTTCACATCGTAAGCACAAAATGGCTATTTCACATCGTAAGTACAAAATGGCTAATTCACATTGTGACTACAAAAATGGCTAGTTCAAATCGTAAATAAGATATATGATTGATGTCTCTCAATTTTACAATGTAGTCTACATTCAGTTCTTGGTAAATCAGCGTTAAAACCACGACACTTTCCTACCGACATCTGATACCAATGAGACCGTTATAAAGTACAGATAGGTAGTTATCAATATCGATTCTGCCGTTCCATTGCGCTCGACAAATTTAAGTCACGTGGTTACAGAAAGTGATTTGTATGTGTGACTTAAACGAAATTGATTACAAAATCTGTGTCTGTGACAAATTGCTAACCACATCACGTGCATGATGTTCTTAAACACATCTATGTCCGGTACAGTGTGGTATTTTATGTAAGGTATACTGACGTTATCCTGGCAATTCTTCCTTTCAAGCTGAAATTATATTCACCTCCCCTTATGACGTATTGAGTGACATTTTCATGTTTTTATGTTTAAAGTTGACAAAAAACACTGGCGTTCGCCATGGGTTGTAAAACTTGAGTTTTACCATAAAGCTAACCGTGCCTGGTCCTATTCCCTCGACTTAAGGTGAAGAAAGACATTCTCTCAAGGTCGATATAAAACGTACGACTGTTAAACTGCTTTAGAGAGAACACAACTTTACTAAAACAGCAGTAAATCTTCATCAATAAGATCGCGAATGAAGCCTTTATTAGATAATACATCCATTTATTCGAAATCCAAATTGAAGTGAAGGTCGTGACCTTGAATGCTATGTTCTAAAATATTTAAGGTTTTATTTTGATGATTAAAAAAAATGTTTCCGAGATGAGGCGAATATTGATCTAAACAGGACCTCCTAGTATACACCAGACATATATACGTACTTAATTCTGTCAATTGTCAGACTTATTCCACCTTTTGTTGTCCTCAGGGGCTGAATGTGTAACCTGGTCTAACAGGAGCACACTTTGATAAAGACACCCGCGGTTAGATAGACAAGGCAAGGATTGACACAGAGGTTCGGCGAACAAAAATCAATTAACTATATATTATCCATGTTTTTAAACAGTAATTTCAGTGTACACAAGTTCGTTTTCAGATTTTCATACAATCTATTTGCGCCTCTAAAAGCGACCAGTTCTCTTGGCATCGACGTCTTGTCAAATGTACTATAGATGATATAATTGTATTTACGGCGCACTAATTGCCGGCGTACAAATCAGATGTCGAAATATGTCCATTACCCACGCAGATGTAAACAGACACCAAATTATGATAATTGTCTGGGTATATATCAGAGACCATTCAAAGACCAAAATATGACCAATATTATTATCATTGCCTGGGCATATATCAAAGGCCATTTAGAGAGCAAAATATGACCAATATTATCATTGCCTGGGCATATATCAGAGGCCATTTAGAGACCAAAATATGACCAATATTATCATTGTTTAGGTACATATAATCAGCCCTCTGTTTAAGTCTCTGATATAATGCAGTCACGATGTAATGTACTCTGGAGTTTTTTTCATTGGTTGCACCAGTTAGAAATGTATTTTGATATTATTGCGACATTTCCGACTTCAGGCGCAACTCCTTTGGTTTTTTTCATCATTTTTTTTACTTTAAATCCATCAAAATTTAGCTTTTCTGAGATATGTGGTAAAAATTGTCTTAAATTTGTTTTCATTTTATATAATTCATCCGGATGTCTTAATTTCGAGTGTCTTTCATGAAAACATTGTAGTATATGATTCGGTCAATGTATACAACAAAATGTCTCCACATGTTACAAAAAATGACCTAGCTTTTCATCTCACTGGATCAGAAATAGATTGATTTTTAAGTGCGGTGTAACAGTGCGAACACTATCAATACCTATGATTTAAGGATATTGCATCCAAAAACCGACTAAGTAATCAGATTACCTACACAAGATGATAATATGTACGTGTATGATGTAGAATGCCTTCCATCAATCACCAGGACTTGGCACTGACTTCCAAACACACGGGCCTCGTAGAGGCATTCAAAAGTGTCAAGTCCTTTTGCTGTCAACTCATAATTATCACAACCGTGAACTTCCAACTTTCAATACTGTCAATATACTCCAGTGCTTGGTGTCAGACGAAGACATTGAGAGCAACAAATGACAAGTTCTGTTGGTCCAAGTATACTTGTTTACCGCCAATGATTCATTCTCATTGGCTGTATAAGACTGTTATAGTTGTCAGCATTTGGTCGAGTCATTCGCCTATCAATACAAGATATCCGCGTTACTTCAAATGTTTCCGAGCTATTGTTATGTGGGGAGCAGCACGGTTTATTTCTAATCGAATAATTTCCTGGCTTCATTGGTTTTATTACTTTTGTGTTTTTTGTGGCAATTTCTGGCGTAATGTAACGGTAAATTTCATTATTAGACCAAAGCCTCTTATTTTATTTGAAACACGAAACAGTGTTTCGTAAAACGACAGTAAACAGATACTATTCCTGGTAATTCGTGTCAAATTAACTTTAGATTATTTCAACTGTCTGTAGTTACCGTGCAGTAACGCTAATATTCTTTCTGTAATGCTTCGTCCAATGGTCCAGTGTTTTATCATTACAATTTCCTAGAAACAACCACAGTCAGTCTGCTCTGCGTTTGAATTCTTCGTGTTGGTAATGCCAATAGATAGACATTCTTATAACACAACCAGTAGAAGATGTAAGTGTGACGTTTCCATGACAACACGGTCACCTTCATCTTCGAATTCATGTTTGATGAAAATGGCCCGTCTGATGAAGGTGAACATGAAGTCATCTTAACATCACATTCTTAATCTTCTACTGGTTGCGTTATGATATGAAGGTGACCGTGAAGTCGTCAAAACGTCAAACTTAAATCTTCTACTAGTTGTGTTATAAGATGAAGGTGAACGTGAAGTCGTCGAAACGTCACACTTAAATCTTCTACTGGCTGTGTTATAAAATGAAGGTGAACGTGAAGTCGTCGAAACGTCACACTCAAATCTTCTACTGGTTGTGTTATAAGAAGAAGGTGACCGTGAAGTCGTCGAAACGTCAAACTTAAATCTTCTACTGGTTATTAAAAGATGAAGGTGACCGTGTAGTCATCAGAACGTCACACACTAATCTTCTACTGGTTGTGTTATAAGATGAAGGTGACCGTGAAGTCATCGAAACGTCAAACTTAAATCTTCTACTAGTTGTGTTATAAGAAGAAGGTGACCGTGAAGTCGTCGAAACGTCAAACTTAAATCTTCTACTGGTTATTAAAAGATGAAGGTGACCGTGTAGTCATCAGAACGTCACACACTAATCTTCTACTGGTTGTGTTATAAGAAGAAGGTGACCGTGAAGTCGTCGAAACGTCAAACTTAAATCTTCTACTGGTTATTAAAAGATGAAGGTGACCGTGTAGTCATCAGAACGTCACACACTAATCTTCTACTGGTTGTGTTATAAGATGAAGGTGACCGTGAAGTCATCGAAACGTCAAACTTAAATCTTCTACTGGTTGTGTTATAAGAAGAAGGTGACCGTGAAGTCGTCGAAACGTCAAACTCAAATCTTCTACTGGTTATTAAAAGATGAAGGTGACCGTGTAGTCATCAGAACGTCACACACTAATCTTCTACTGGTTGTGTTATAAGATGAAGGTGACCGTGAAGTCATCGAAACGCCAAACTTAAATCTCTACTGGTTGTGTTATAAGAAGAAGGTGACCGTGAAGTCGTCGAAACGTCAAACTTAAATCTTCTACTGGTTGTGTTATAAGATGAAGGTGACCGTGTAGTCATCGAAACGTCAAACTTAAATCCTCTACTGGTTGTGTTATAAGATGAAGGTGAACGTGAAGTCGTCGAAACGTCACACTCAAATCTTCTACTGGTTGTGTTATAAGAAGAAGGTGACCGTGAAGTCGTCGAAACGTCAAACTTAAATCTTCTACTGGTTATTAAAAGATGAAGGTGACCGTGTAGTCATCAGAACGTCACACACTAATCTTCTACTGGTTGTGTTATAAGATGAAGGTGACCGTGAAGTCATCGAAACGTCAAACTTAAATCTTCTACTAGTTGTGTTATAAGAAGAAGGTGACCGTGAAGTCGTCGAAACGTCAAACTTAAATCTTCTACTGGTTATTAAAAGATGAAGGTGACCGTGTAGTCATCAGAACGTCACACACTAATCTTCTACTGGTTGTGTTATAAGATGAAGGTGACCGTGAAGTCATCGAAACGTCAAACTTAAATCTTCTACTGGTTGTGTTATAAGAAGAAGGTGACCGTGAAGTCGTCGAAACGTCAAACTTAAATCTTCTACTGGTTATTAAAAGATGAAGGTGACCGTGTAGTCATCAGAACGTCACACACTAATCTTCTACTGGTTGTGTTATAAGATGAAGGTGACCGTGAAGTCATCGAAACGCCAAACTTAAATCTTCTACTGGTTGTGTTATAAGAAGAAGGTGACCGTGAAGTCGTCGAAACGTCAAACTTAAATCTTCTACTGGTTGTGTTATAAGATGAAGGTGACCGTGTAGTCATCGAAACGTCAAACTTAAATCCTCTACTGGTTGTGTTATAAGATGAAGGTGACCGTGAAGTCGTCAAAACGTCAAACTTAAATCCTCTACTGGTTGTGTAATAAAAACTTCTACACGATATGTTTAAGTCAGTCCACAATTACTTATTTTAACAAAAGTCATTTTGTCCTAGTGTCTCGGGATCGGACAATAAACCTGACTCTGCCTGTAAACGGTAGAAACGCAACATGCTGCAACTCATGAATGAAGGGAGGTAACTGCTAGTAAAAAATGTATTTCCGAATATAACAGAAGAAAAGTTATTTTTTCAAAGACATTTTATTGAGAAAATAAATAAACAAAACATGACTTTATTACGTAATACAACGGTCAGCTGGACTTGGCTTTCTTTGCTGTACTTTCCTCTGAACTGGTAATCTATAACGATACAAGATGGTGATGCTATGACCCTATTAGGCATAAAAGACATGTCATTAGTAATACTGTAACTGTTATCAAGTATTCACATGATGAAATATTAAATCTGAAATTTACATCCATGTGAGTGATTACAAACACTTTTATCATTTATGATATTGAAAATAAATGTATTGAAATAGTTTTTGGTATGCTTTGTAATATGTGAGATCTCCTGACAACACAAAGAAAAAGAAAAGTGCCAAAACATTAAAATTATCCTAAATAAGTAAAACATATCTTCATTCAGTCAACAGGTGGATAACACTGCCTGCCTGTCTAGGACATATTAACATGTGAACACTTCTACTAATATAGATACCTGTAGGTTTATCTAGGTCTATAACCAGTAAAATGAAGATATCATCTCCTTTTTTGTCTAACAAATATGAAAATATATTCAGCCCAATGTTTAATGTAACCAGTACTGGGGTAGGTGTTCCAACACTGGTCAAGATGAAGTTGGTCAAATAATTTGATCCCTTTCAGACCTTTAAAATCACTACTTAAGTGCACTCCAGTAGTAAACCACTGTAAATGTGAAATAGTGTAGCAGGAATATATCACTTTACTAACACTAGTGGAGTACTTGTTGAAAATCTTATTTTCATGGCCTAAAATTGCTAAACAACAGTAATACAAGCATATACTCGTACATGAAATGTCAACTTAAAGTGACATTCTGAATGTAAACATTGGTAGTCACCCAAAAAACCTTACCTCGGAGACTCGTTTTCTGATTTGCATCCTGGTTTTTTCCACTGACTCCTCTGTTTCTGTAGGTTTTACTGGTTCCTGTACACTATCCTGGCCCTGAGCCACAGGTCCATGAACATCTCCGAGTTTTAAAGCATTCTGTCTCAACTCCCTGTTCACTTCCTCCTTCAATGTATTTACTGAATTATTAACAGTTTTCTTGGATAACTTCATCATCTGTCTTGGAACAAACTTGGGGGGTGCTGTCTGTGGTTTGAATGCCCGGACAATAACACCTGCCTGAAGTTTTACTTTGGAATGTGATATGCTAGACTGATCATTCTCGTAGTTACTAGGAACCTCTTTTTGTTTTATCCTAACATCTGAATTGTCACCTTTTGATAAATTTTTTTTCCCCAACCTTTCTCTAAAATTGTTATTTGCTTCAGAAATGCTGTTGGACATTTCTGCTGGATTAGTTTCACTTTTTTTATTTGCGTATGTGCTCTGACAACTTTTTGTGGTGTCAAAATCTGTTAAAATTCTAGCATCATAATTAGGTGGAAACACAGAGTGCGCTGTCCTAACTCTCGCGAATTCATAATCTGACATTGAATTGCAGGAATGATCCTCCCTGGAAGAACCTTCCTTAGGTGGAGGTGGAATCCAGACCTGTTGTTCCTCCTCCAATGGTGAAGTGTCTGCCTTATATGGTATTGGTGGCACACGGGCATCAAACTGATTGGTCTTATAAGTAAGTCTTTGCGTCTCTCTAGCGCCTGTTCTGTCAGTGTGGGTTGCCTCTTTTGAAGGGTTGATTTCCTGAGCATTAGGAAATGAATTCCCAGGGAGAGGTCCTTTAGCAGTAGAAAATTGATTTTTTGACTTCTGACCTTGATCATTTGAACTCTGACCTGATAAGGCTGACTGAGATTCCGTACTGTTAAACACTTTGGGTTGCCCACTTTCAGCCTCTGAAAACAACAGTGTAAACAATGCATTACAATAACTATTCATGTTCATATTTATAGTTGATTTTTCAAAGTATACAGTTAAACTTCTGTCAATTAGCATAGCAGCTAAACTACATTTTCTTTGTTCATATGCAAATAATCATGATCAGCTTTCTACCTAGTTAGTAATGATATAATTTTTTAACCAAAAGTATAATCCTTTTTACCTACAATTTCAGTTACATACATTGATGGGTTTGATGTTGAAACCTCAAAACAAAGGGATTTCAATGTAATTGGATCATGTTTAATTATACTGAATACACTGAAAATATGCTATGGTCTTTTATTTTGATCAGAAAATTACCATAAAAGTTTACACTGTTTGTAGTTAATTAAAAATCATCCTACCATTTTTTCTAATCCTTGCAGCTATTGCTTTTCGCCGATCCTGAAGTTTAAAACGAGTTTCCTCCACACTTTCATACTCTGGAGCATAACACACATGCAGAATGCCACCAAAAAATGACCAATCATCAAGCTTTCTTCGAGCAATTCTGAAATACATCACCAAATCACAATAATTAGGAATGATCAAAGGAGTACTAGTTTTCATGTTATGAACTGGATTTTAAGTAAATGCCAAATTTTGACCTAGAGATATCTTTCCACCAAATATCAGACTTTTGAATGACCTTAAGATATCTTTTACAGGTTTCAAAAAATGATATTCTTATGACCTTCAATATGGGTCAAGGTCATTTCTTTTCCCAAATGTCAGCCATCATCCTAAGGACCTATCAGCCAAATGTCATGCTTCTTTGCTTTTTGGTCAGTCAAAAGAAGTTGTTTGAAGATTTAAACAGATTCAAGGTAATTTCTTTTTGCAAGCTTTGTCTGGCTTAATCCTAGAAACCTATGACTCAAACACCATGCTTCTGCGTCTTTTGGTTATTCAGAAGAAGTTGTTTGTTTTAACAAATCTGACCCCTGTGACCTTGAACAAATGATATGGTAATTTCCCTTTGCAATCTTGGTCGGTATTCAAACTAGAAACCTATCAACCAAATCCCATGTATTTGCATCGATTGGACCAATATAGATCAAAGTAATTTCTTTTTGCACATTTTGTCGGACTTCATCCTAGGAACATACCAGCCTCCATCATGCATCCAGGACTTTGAGTTCATGAGCAGTTGAATAAAGGTTTTAATAAATTTCACCCCTGTGACCTTGAATATAGGTCAATGTAATTTCTTTTCACAAACTTTGTCAAGCTTTATCATAGGAGCATATCAGTCAAATATCAAAACACTTTGGTTATTGAGAAAAAGTTGACACTGGATGATGGACGGACAACAGACAACGCGCCACAGCATAAGCTCACTTGGCTCTAAGGTCAGGTGAGCTAAAAAAAAGAAACATGTTTTTTACATAAATGTTAAACAAAATTTCTCATCTCCCAGACACAAAATCTATTCTGGCATTTTGAACATAAAACTTTTTTTTAGGTAGAAAATGTGGAGAAATAGGATAACTGCTAACCAACACTGTGTCGAGATGGCATGTATAGACTTACTGGTCCTTTTTGGATCAGTTGAGCTGAAAAGCAGTGATTAATTCTCAGCATGGATATAAAAAAATCGTGAGTATCATAATCACCGTATTTAGTGCCCAGGGCAAATACGAAACTGGCAGGGCACATTTTAGACTATCAATAAAAATTTAAAAAGGGATTATAATTTTGTTGTATATCTAGATAACTGTATTATATTTCATGTCAACTGATGCTATAGCATTCAAAATGTAATAATATCAACTAATTTGTAACTTCATTTCTTTCATCAAGGTAGGCCAAGATTAAGTGTGATGTTGAGTGGGGTGGGTCAGTTACTCACATGATAAGTATAATTGCAGTGTATGCTAAAAACAAAGTGTGTATTGTTTAATAATAAATGAGGTGAATGACATAATGTTGTTTTTGGTAAATTGACTATATTTAGTGTATTAGTATACCTGGCTGCCTGGATACGCTCAAATTTAATTAGGAATACATCTGTGAACTTGTCAGCTGTTGGGTAGTCGTCCAGAATTCTGTACTCTGCTATTGCACCATAGAGAGCAAATAACTTAATGAGCTCCTGTGTGGCTCCCAAGGCTGGTACACCCTGTACTAGTAGGTAGCTTGATTCAAGGTTAATAGTATATACCTGAAAATCAAGGGTACAAATCTAAATATAGTAATATAAGTATGTAAACATCTAAATGTGGATCTACTAACGTTGGTCACAAACATTTTCAAATACATTAAATTTGAAATCAGACATCCTTGGATTTGAAAGGATGCACTGGAATTTCAACAAAGGTAGCTGTACCACCCACCTTTGGAAGGTTGGGTGGTGCAGTAGTTACATACTTGTCTTTCACCTACATGTATGCGTCAAGGGTTGGATTGCCAACACAGACGTGAAAAGGTATGGAAATACCTTCATGATCAAGTGGGTTTCCCCTGGTATATATATATAAATATATATGTACTCCAGTACCCTCTCATAGTAAGACTCCTTGTGCACATCTATCAGAGTTAACAAGAGTAATTAATATAAGTTAAAATACTTGATTTGTTGTAAAAGAAATAAGTTGATTATTCTCTTCTTCTGTACTCAAACATGTGTACATAAAGGTCACCAAATTGTACTTATACATGCTGTGTACTGGAAAGTCATTAAATGATTGTGAAAGTTAATTACAAATAAAAATATTCACAATAACTGACCAGGATCTTTACATTATGAAATACATTCAAAATGTACCTGCCAACTTTCCGATGAGAACTTTGAAAAGTTGGCAGGTATGGTGTAAGCCATTGGATAGTCTCAGCTTATTATAAATGCACATGTATATAAGGAAATCTATTTTTAGAATGTGCTCTGACACCTGTGTTTTCCTGACAAAAAATCTTTTTTTTACATCAAATGAAGCATTGAATAGAAGTATGGTTTACACCAATTTGTATCAAAACTAGATGACACATATTTTCGAAATTTCTGTTTGAAAATAGAATTAGCATATGGTACAGATATCTCGACATTTGAATGAGAAAATGATGTTTTCTCCCCTCATTTATAGAAAACACTTTTAGATTTCCCTCACGTGTCCGAGTTCAGAAGATAAAAGCCCTCTGTAATGGGTCAATGTGTTTGAATTATTCTGACATTCTATCGATTTTTTATATCAGTCTGAAGTCGAGATAGATATATACAAGTTGACAGAATGCCAGAATATAATTATATGAACCTAGTTGTTTCAGAGATTTAGTACATCCTCTCAACGTACTAATACTATTAATATCCACCATTCCCCTTATCACAGGCTATACAGTCAAGTCTGACCAAACAGGTCACATTTCTCATATGTAAATGAAAAAACTAGATGATCAAAGGTAGGTCCATGAAATGAAAAGAGACGACACCTAAACACGGGAGGAGTCACGGAGACCGAAAACCTGTCAGTCAACCAATGAAAAGTATATCATTGGCCTTTGCTCAGTTTCAGCGAATTATTTGAATTTCATTGTTGCATTTTTGGCGTATCCAAACACGTCAAATATCTAGTAACAAACTAGCTATATAGTCAATTACAATAAGGTAAAATTGTGATGTCTGCAGGTTAACTAAGAGATCTTGCCGATCGCTGAATCAACACCAGTATGAAATTTAGGATCTTGTTCATTAGGGTTATAGACAAGCATGCTAACTATCACTTAAATTAATGGGAAATGTTATTACTTTCACTGCTTTTGGGTTTCTTCCTTCTCTGTAAGTCGGTCGTGTGGAACAAATTTCCCCTCGAACGTGATGCAGTGGAACGTCCATGGGAGCAGCCATTTTGAATTTTACTTTGCTAAAGCGATGACTTAAAATAGCCGTTTGTCCATAACTTAATACTTTATCAATCCTGTTGTAAGTCATTTTGAAATTATAAGTAGTAATGATATCAAATTAGTGAATGAAACAATGAAATGTCAAAATAGCTATTGAGTCAAATATCCCATTGATTCGATTACTATCTATAAGTTTTATCTCTGGTTTAGTACAATTTTGTTTGGTTTCGGTTTGTCGGACGTTTTAATTAACTTACAAGTACACGTAACATGTTTCTTGTTGGTCTTACCGGGGGCATAGCTTCTGGAAAATCTACAGTTTCTAAACTCCTGTCCGAACTTGGGTGTAATGTTATCGATGCAGACAAGCTAGCGAGGGAAGGTAAATAAGATATTATTGTAAAGTTTATAGCATGCGTTATGACTAGTGTGTATGACTAGGTTGGGGAAACCACAAATTCCGGTTATCTGTCAGTTTCAGTTGGACCTGAAAACATTCCCGTCCTACTAATTCTCGTTCTACACATACACAATTATTCAATGGAACTATCTTTCACAAATTATCCTTTCCTTGTAAATCTTGGACTCTTTCAAACAATTCTATCCCGATAACATACATGAACATATCCAGCACTTTCTTCAACAATTAAGCTTCGTGAAATTCGTGTATAGATTAACAAAAATTGCTATCAATGTGAAAAAAAAATCATTATCCTCTACAAAATGCTTTACATGTATTTTTCCCATACATGTAAGCTTTAGTTTCATATCATTGAAATATCTCCCCAAACCTTAACACTGAGCAAAAGTAAGCATCTGTCCAATAGTTTGAAAATTGGTGGCTGTGTTAATCAGTTAGCTTTTATTCGATCACATATACAATATAGTTAATGCTATTATGCAATAATGTTAGGAACATTGATGAGGCATATATCACAAACATGCTGCGTTCAGCTGTTCTTTTTTTAGATACTGTTCTTATGTTGCTTCCAGACCAAAATTTCATAAAAGTTTGAAGGAAACAAAAATCAGTAGACAGTATATATAATGCAAGGATCATACCACAGAGGTATGCATTCAATTAGTGTACATGTATATTTAAAACAAGTGGCCATACCTATAAAGTAAATGTCACATTTCATGTGGCCAGATTCACAACAGCAAGGGATTGAAGATATAGTAATGCCTGATGTGAAAGTAATTATATTTTCTGTAGATCTTCTTATATTGTGTTTTCTCCCTTTTGTATTACATAGTTGTTGCCCCTGGAGCTCCAGCCTGGAAGAAAATTCGACAACATTTTGGAGACAAAGTTTTATTGGAGAATGGAGAACTCAACCGAGAGAAACTTGGAGAGATCATTTTTGCTGATCCTCAGGAAAGACGAATATTGAATTCACTCACTCACCCTGAAATACATAAAATCATGCTATGGAGAATTTTCAAGCTCTTCATAAGAGGTGAAAACAATTTTCTTTTTCTTCTTTTTTTTCCAGCAGTAAATGAAACTAAAATATCACAGAAAGTTGTTGCCTAAATCTATATGACTATTGTTTTGTTTCCAAAGGGTTTTTGAATTAATATCAAAGAAGGCACTGAGTATTTTGTTTGAATAACTCTATATACATTTACATGTAAAATCAAATCCATTATCAAAAGAAATGGAATGTGATAATTGATATCGTTTTGTCACATTCCTCCTGTATTAAATGACCTTTAACCTCCAGTGTTGTGAATTGTCCACATATTTATGACACTTTTACAGCATTGGGTTGATGACAGATCATTGAAATATTGATCTGGGAACTTATCATGGAATATCACCTTCCTTCTTTGATTTGATGAGTACATAATGTACAGGTATTGTTCAACCTTGAAATATTCACTTACTTTTTATTGTTAAACAAGAAATGCTACATACATGTAATTATTATATAGTATCGTCAACAAAAACAAGGAAAATTGATAATAGATGGGATTGATGTACAAGATCAGACTTAACCTTATCTGTCATAAATTAAACTGACCCAGACTTACTACTTTATAGGCCATTGCTTTGCTATCCTGGACATCCCACTGCTGTATGAGACTGGGAAAATCCTACCTTACATGACATACACCATAGTTGTGAATTGGTAAGTAATTTGTCTCACTGACTATCTGTACAAAAGGTTTAAATATATTGGTGAGGCTGACTCGCTACATGAATTTGATATCAAACCAAGTAAGTCATATGACCTGCTACTACATATATACACATGTAAAGTCCTGTCATGTCATCAGTTCTTGGATGTACATTGTATTAGTATGAGACAAAGTGCTGATATAGATAGGATTTACTGAGACTTACATGGCTGCTTTTGTTGACAAAGCAGAAGATACTTACCCTACCAGAGCACCTGGTCTTATTTTTATGCTTTTTCACGAGTCTCCATGTGAATCATTCTTTTGTTCATATTTTGTTCTGGTTTCATTGAAGTTAAGTTTGAATCAAGATTTTGTTGACGTGTCAGTTTTTTCTTTGTTGAGTCATGTGACCATTTGCTGGTTATACATGTACTTTAAAGACATGATTTAGTCACCAACAACTGGATCTTCAGACATGTGAGCAGATATGGGATGTCCTAGTATGAGTAAATTATGTAATTATCCAGTTACATGTAGAAGTATAAAAGTCGTGGAATCAACCAGCAACCAGTAGCTATTATATATTCAGTTGGGTGAGATTCAGCCCTCGAGCTTCTTATTCAACAACTTTGTGTGGAAGGAACTGGCAAGCAATCCCCAGGCTCAATCATTAATCATCATTATCATCTCGTTGATATTTATCTTTTAAGTTCATCAGTTAATGAAGGGAACAAGTTTGAAACATTTCAGTTTCACATTTATGGTCCTCATTAAGAAAAGAAAACAAGATGATGATTAGTTTTAAAGTTCTTGTGACTTAAAAACATGATTGTTTGTTCATTTACATTTCAGTTCTAAGGACCAACAGTTAGAGCGATTGATGGAAAGAAATAAACTGACAGAAGAGGAAGCAAGAGGCAGAATGGAAGCTCAGATGCCATTGGCTCAGAAAGTAAAAGCTGCCACCTATGTAATAGACAATAGTGGAAGTTTGATATCAACTGAAAAACAAGTGCGAGATTTACATGGGAAATTACAAAGAAGTAAAGCACACTGGAGACTTAGACTGGTCTTGTCATCTGTCGTCATGGTAACGCTTGGAGTACTATTTTATGTATTCTCTTAGGTTGTGTAATTTGTACGTAATTATGTATCTATAAATTATCACAAAATATATCATTATATGAATCATATAAAACATTCTTGATATAATAAATTGAATCCCAATAAGTTAATCCTGTATAATCTTTACTCGCAAATCAGTTGTTAAAAAAATATAGACCTATGTTGAATAAAGCACAATCCATTTTGAAATTGTATATTGATTTATGGAAAATGTATTGCCCCACTACTGAAATTTCACTCTGGTGTAAAGACCAGTCAATCCATGAATTAGTATTGTATCCATTGCATCAATGCTCTTGCCAGTGGTTACAGTGTGGTATCTGTACCCAAGTTTTGATATCCTAATAATATTGTAATTGCCAGTGGTTACAGTGTGGTATCTGTACCCAAGTTTTGATATCCCAATAATATTGTAATTGCCAGTGGTTACAGTGTGGTATCTGTACCCAAGTTTTGATATCCCAATAATATTGTAATTGCCAGTGGTTACAGTGTGGTATCTGTACCCAAGTTTTGATATCCCAATAATATTGTAATTGCCAGTGGTTACAGTGTGGTATCTGTACCCAAGTTTTGATATCCTAATAATATTGTAATTGCCAGTGGTTACAGTGTGGTATCTGTACCCAAGTTTTGATATCCTAATAATATTGTAATTGCCAGTGGTTACAGTGTGGTATCTGTACCCAAGTTTTGATATCCTAATAATATTGTAATTGCCAGTGGTTACAGTGTGGTATCTGTACCCAAGTTTTGATATCCTAATAATATTGTAATTGCCAGTGGTTACAGTGTGGTATCTGTACCCAAGTTTTGATATCCCAATAATATTGTAATTGCCAGTGGTTACAGTGTGGTATCTGTACCCAAGTTTTGATATCCCAATAATATTGTAATTGCCAGTGGTTACAGTGTGGTATCTGTACCCAAGTTTTGATATCCCAATAATATTGTAATTGCCAGTGGTTACAGTGTGGTATCTGTACCCAAGTTTTGATATCCCAATAATATTGTAATTGCCAGTGGTTACAGTGTGGTATCTGTACCCAAGTTTTGATATCCCAATAATATTGTAATTGCCAGTGGTTACAGTGTGGTATCTGTACCCAAGTTTTGATATCCTAATAATATTGTAATTGCCAGTGGTTACAGTGTGGTATCTGTACCCAAGTTTTGATATCCTAATAATATTGTAATTGCCAGTGGTTACAGTGTGGTATCTGTACCCAAGTTTTGATATCCTAATAATATTGTAATTGCCAGTGGTTACAGTGTGGTATCTGTACCCAAGTTTTGATATCCTAATAATATTGTAATTGCCAGTGGTTACAGTGTGGTATCTGTACCCAAGTTTTGATATCCCAATAATATTGTAATTGCCAGTGGTTACAGTGTGGTATCTGTACCCAAGTTTTGATATCCTAATAATATTGTAATTGCCAGTGGTTACAGTGTGGTATCTGTACCCAAGTTTTGATATCCCAATAATATTGTAATTCATAAAGAAGGCTTTGTCAGAGGATAATTTTGTACTTATCAGGAACTTCATTCCATCTACTTGTATACATATTTTATATTTATATCTTGTTCATCTTAACCAAAATCATATTATTTTTGTAAGGAATTTGTATGCTGTTGAAAAATTGAGAAACAAAACCATGTATGAAAATATTTTATTGTTAATCAAATCTTGTAAATCACATTCTTTTTACAATGAGTAAACAATGTTAAACAATACATGTTAGGTGTTGTAATCTGTCATTTGTAACATGAACTCAGACATATTGCTTTGATAATGCATGCATTTTCAATATCATGCCAGAAAGACATTGAGCGTACAGGTCAGTTAGGAAATCCTTTTACTTTTAGATAAATTTCATTGTGGATATATAAAGAATCTTGACTCCAATTTCCTTTATTGAAAAAAGTATATATCTGTCAATTGGCATTTGGCCTTCTTCTTGTCAGAGAAATCAATATCAGAGTGTAAAATTACACTTTGACTTACAAGCTACAGTAAACATACAGTATACTTATTTTAGCACAATACAATTGGAGCTCATTGATGAATTTGCGCATTTGAAATACTTGTTATATTAACAGCATGCTTGTTTTGGTGCAATATCTTCAGCGCAAAAAGTGCTTAATTATGATATATGTTAACAGGATTTCTTGGTAAAAGGCCATGTTAGAATTGAAATAGTGTTTGGAAAATTACAATGTCTAATAGAAGATGAAAGATGCAAACAAGCAGATTGAGACATCATTCTCCATCATACCCCTGCTACATTCCCCTTTCAAAAAGTCTAAACCCAATATGACAGAAAAAAAGACCCTATACCATGTTCTGTGTATACCGGTATATTAATTATAACTTTGGAGAAAATTGTAACATCTAAACAAGAATACAAAGATCTGACTAAAACTTTAGCTAAAACTCTACACAAGCTCTATTAATTAAAAGAGAGCTCTGAAAATTTGTACCTACCAGGTACATACAAGTTCATCTGATATGATTCTGAAAAATGATATATCTGGACCATTACATACATTTTAAGATACATGTTTGTTGAAATATATCTATAAAACCAGATGTCTTGTGTCTTAATTTGCATAGCTAAGGTAATGTAATGGTTTCGCAAGGTTTTTTATGATATGCAGTATCTAGCAACATGCATACTTCGTACAGTGTACATGATTGATATCAAGACACATTTATACAAAGTAATACATCTTTTCATACAAATGTACAAGTAGAGATACCGGCAAACTTATTCACAAGTTAAGATCTCTGGAAACGTGTTTACGAGTTAAAATCTCAGGTAACTTGTTTACAAGTTACAATCTCCAGAAACATGTTCAGAAGTTAAATTTTCAGGTAACTTGTTTACAAGTTAAAATCTCAGGTAACTTGGTTACAAGTTAAGATCTCGGGAAATTAGTTCACAATTTAAGATAACTGGAAACTCTTTTCAAGTTTTAGATATCTGGAAAATAGTTTACAACTTAAAACATCTGGAAACATTTGCATCAATTTGGTATAATTTTAAATATATAGAAACTAGATTAGAAGTACCGAAAATTTTGTATAAGTTAATATATATGGAAACTAGTTTAAAAGTCAATTGATATACAATAACTTGTGTACAAGTTAAGATATCTGGAAACTTTGGTACACGTATCAGTTATGATATTTGGAAACTTTGGTACACGTATCAGTTATGATATCTGGAAACTTTGGTACATGTATCAGTTAAGATATCTGGAAACTTTGGTACATGTATCAGTTAAGATATCTGGAAACTTTGGTACATGTATCAGTTAAGATATCTGGAAACTTTGGTACATGTGTCAGCTATGATATCTGGAAACTTTGGTACACGTATCAGTTATGATATCTGGAAACTTTGGTACATGTATCAGTTAAGATATCTGGAAACTTTGGTACACATATCAGTTAAGATATTTGGAAACTTTGGTACATGTATCAGTTATGATATCTGGAAACTTTGGTACATGTGTCAGCTATGATATCTGGAAACTTTGGTACACGTATCAGTTAAGATATCTGGAAACTTTGGTACATGTGTCAGTTATGATATCTGGAAACTTTGGTACATGTATCAGTTAAGATATCTGGAAACTTTGGTACATGTATCAGTTATGATATCTAGAAACTTTGGTACATGTATCAGTTAAATATTTGGAAACTTTGGTACATGTATCAGTTATGATATCTGGAAACTTTGGTACATGTATCAGTTAAGATATTTGGAAACTTTGGTACACGTATCAGTTAAGATATCTGGAAACTTTGGTACATGTATCAGTTAAGATATCTGGAAACTTTGGTACACGTATCAGTTAAGATATTTGGAAACTTTGGTACATGTATCAGTTAAGATATCTGGAAACTTTGGTACATGTATCAGTTATGATATCTGGAAACTTTGGTACATGTATCAGTTAAGATATCTGGAAACTTTGGTACACGTATCAGTTATGATATCTGGAAACTTTGGTACATGTATCAGTTAAGATATCTGGAAACTTTGGTACATGTATCAGTTAAGATATCTGGAAACTTTGGTACATGTATCAGTTAAGATATCTGGAAACTTTGGTACACGTATCAGTTAAGATATCTGGAAACTTTGGTACATGTATCAGTTAAGATATCTATAAACTTTGGTACACGTATAAGTTAAAATATTTGGAAACTTTGGTATCAGTTAAGAGATTTGCACAGGTATAAGGAAACTATTGAGATAAAATTTAGATACCTGGCAACAAGTTTACAACTTAAAATATCTGTAAAGATAAAGATATCTGAAAAAATATTATACAAGTTAAGATATCTTGAGACATATTGAAATTAAGATATCTAGAAACTAGTGTGCAATATGAGATGTCTTGAAACTAGCATACAACTTAAGATATTTGGTCAGATAATTCTTTTTTAAAAATCTCACTTTTGAACAAGTTAAGGTATCTGGAGACATTTGCACCACTAAAGTATCTGAAAATGTAGACCAAATGAAAGAAACTATTATCTTATACTAACAAACTTCCAAAGTAACATTTGAAACTTACATACATGCCAATTGCAAGTGTACATTTTCCAAAGCCAGAGTTCATAATTCACCTCAGGGCAAGTAAAATATTCCATGTGAAAATATACGTTGGGCTGGAATTTTATAAAATCAAACTATGTGCTAGTTTTGTAAATATGATATTGTACTCCCCTTTCTTAAAAGATAAAGTAGTGAAAAAAACCACTATAATTATTATATATACATTTAAAGATCACTAAATTTCAACACTAAATGGTATATAAAATATATGATTTCTCCATAACAGACAATATTGTACCTTACCCTCCATAACAATTATAAAGTGGGCCAACAAGCTACATTGCATTTTGATTACCTTGAATTTAACATTGTTTGGTAAAATTTCAGTTGGGCAGTGAACTGATGATTAAATGAGGACTCATGAAATTCTCACTAGATTGTAAATAAAGTAATCCTTAGTCCAAGATCTGAAAAAAATTCCTGTTAGGTAGTAAAGAAAGTGACAGGTAAATCTCTGTCTGAGATCTGAGAAAATTCCTGTTAGGTAATAAAAGTTGATAATTTAATTAACTTTAAAGTATCATGAAAATACCTAAACAGCCATGAAACAATCAAATGTAGCAGTTTTAGCTGGTAAGGATTTGGCTGGCACCTTTTTTAACCTCCAATAAACTCAACGGTTAATATATCAACCTCCTGCAACAGGTAGAAAGTGTTACAGGATGTTACAGAAACTTGGACCCCAATATACCTACCTAGGAGGGCTGGACTTATTAACAGGCACTGGTGTAATGCTAATTATCAATGACAACCATGAGGTAATTTATGAGCTGTACATACATATATAACTTAATAAACATGTCATGTTTATCATACATAACCATACCTATACAGTTCTTTGTGCACTACATACATCTTCAAATCATTTCAGACTAAAACACAAATTTACAAAAACTAGCCAAAACTCCATAAATTTTAACTTTCGTTAAAATCTCTAACATTGCTCTTAATGCTGTCATGATAAATGATACATCCAAATTATATCTAATAATTTGAAAATGGAATGCAGATCTGGAAATGGATAAAACATCTAATGATGTAACAACAGAGGCATTATCAAATGCATAACTAGTTAAGGATTAACGTTCTATTCTGTTAAGTTTATCAAGGGATTACTTAAGCTCAAGTTCTCATGCCTAATCACTGCTGTCATGAAACAGCTTATTGTTTCAGTATTTCTGGTACCACAGCAACAGAACCAACAACAATGCTATTAACATTTCACATAAATTCATATTTCATTTGCTAAATACAAATTTTCAACAAAAATTCTATTGATAGGAAAGCTTGATATGATTAGTATAGGGATCACATTTCTAACGGAATTTACTTCCCACTGGCATTTTAAAATAGAAAAATTCCAAATTCAAGTCCAGTGCAATACGATGATGTTACACATGAGTCTTTCATTCATAACCTTATAAGCTTCATGAGTGTGAATATCATCATTTTGTTAAAGAGGTAATCAACATGATAAAACACCCGGTGGGGCGCAATAATACAGGCATGATCCATACCACAGAAATTTTTGATGGTTGTATAATGACAAACGCATACCAATTTGTGATATAGTGCAATAAGTACATGTTAATGATATTTCATTTAAAAACAAAACAGGATTAATACACGAGAATATAAATCAATGTTCCATCATTCATCCCAAATAAATTAAAAATAACAAAAGATCCATTTAAAACAAAATAAAAAAATCTGATACAAAGTCCAATCATCTAATTTTGATTAATTGTAATACATCCAATAAAAAATATTTAATAAATATTTTGAAAAATAAATATGGTTCATTCAATGAAGATACAGTGTACTGTGTATTCTATATCAGACAACCCTTATCATATTAACATGTAATGATTTATTTCTGCCAATCTTAATCAGATTGTATTTTCCTAAAGTGAAAGTTTAACCATTTGGTGATTACCTGCAATGTCTAACATCTAGATGTCTAGAGAGAAAACAACAATAAAAATAAAAGAAAAAATTTAAAACAATCAAACAAAATGAATGGACACAAACATCCCATTAATTATTTGACAAGCCTTTCAAAGGTGTGGAATGCTTATATATAACATTACTCTGTTTCAAGTTTAAAACGGGACAGCACGTGTCCATCTTATCAACCATAACCCTCCCTCCTATCCATTTAAACGAACTCCAACCTATTTAATATAATGTTTTTAAAGAAGTCACCTACAAGAGCTTCTTCATCCATACAACATCCTTAACACTCACATAAAAACAACCATGTCCAATACCTCAAATATTTAGATACATTTTCATCCAAAAATATCATAGTTTCAGTAGTTAGAGACTATTATTTTAAATCTCTATATGAGGAGTGTATGGCATAAGTCTCCTGAAATTAACCACTTACATCTAATTATTCATTTCTTTCAATCAACCTAATTAATTACTATCAATACAACATATCTGGTCACATGACCTGTTAAGTTTTCCTCTATTTCTTCATCATAATGAAAATAGTAAATACAGGCTGTCAACCAACTCTTCTTCAAAATAAAGGAGGAATATAGGAATATTTTTTCAACAAATATAGTAGTGTTTTCCTAGTTTGGGGTAAAATATAGGAGTTTTCCAAACGAAAATTGTTTCATTCAAAGGCATTTACACTAACAATTTTTACCTTCACTTACTGTTTCTGTATTAATTAATGATTAAAAACTATATTAAAGTAACCATTCACTTCAACAGCATCACAATCCAGACAGAGAGCTGCTGCATAGCTCATCGTCATCATCATCTGAATGGGCACCAGAAAGGCCAATATCCTGTTGTACTGCCTTGCAAGGTGTCCATACAGACAATAAAGAGATGCACTGAATCATTTTCTGGTGGCTGGTGATGTTGTTAAAGACTTAAGAATTCTCAAAAGTAAAGAAGCCGAAAGCAGTATCAAAGAAATATTTACAATCTCTACATTTATCGGTGACAAATTTCCTTAAAAAATATAGGAATGCTTTTCAAAAAATAGGAAAATTTAGGAAATATAGATCTTTAAAAATATAGGTGTTTCAACCAAAATATAGGAATTGGATGACAGCCTGTAAATGGAAAAAAATATTCATAAAATTATTGACTAAAAATCAAATGTTGATCCTGCTCTCAGGAAAAGAAGTGTGTATACATAATCACCTATCATTTTAAACATTTTGAAATATTCAATTTTATTTGTACATCAAACTGAAATTACTCTAATAATCTCTATATACTAGTCCATAGTTTGGCATGGGATTTCCTTACCACATTATAACTCTGTCATCATCAACCAAGTGGGTATTGTCTGGTCTATCAAAAACAGACTGATCCAATTGGTAAATGAGTTTTGTTTTGGATGGAAATTCCTTTTCGTGTTTATACATCAGTACAATGGTTTTTATTAGGAACTGTACTGTACTGTAGTGACTGGTCCTCTAGTAGGATTTCTTCATAACAAAATATATCACAAATTACTTAGTTATACAAAAATATGATAAAAATATCCTGTTGATTTATACTCTGATTTTGGTTTTAATTTAATGCTAGCTGTTATCTGGTTTATATAATTTAACATTATCAATGGTTTCCTTGTCTTTCTCTTTAGGTGCTGCTGCATCCACTTGATATAGCTTTACATTGTCTATGTTCACTTTTTTTTTCTTTTTATTTTCCTGTTCAATGATTTTGTTAGTGATCTGTTGGAATTTTTCTTCGTCTATTTCGACTTGCTCTTGTTTAACCTCCTCTTCTGTTTCTTTCTTTGTGTCAGTCTTTTCTACCTTTGTTTCTCCAGTTTCCTTCTCTTGTGGCTTTTCCTCCACATTTTCTGCCAGCTTTTCTTCCTGTACATCCTCTTTTTTAGCCATTGTTTCTCCATTTTCTGTGTTTTCTTTTTCTTCATTTTCTGTGTTTTCTTTTTCTTCATTTTTTTCTTCATTTTCATTGTTTTCTTTTTCTCCGTTTTCTGTGTTTTCTTTTTCTCCGTTTTCTGTGTTTTCTTTTTCTCCGTTTTCTGTGTTTTCTTTTTCTCCGTTTTCTGTGTTTTCTATTTCTCTGTTTTCTTTGGGTTTTTTTTCTTCTTTATCTTGCAGCTCTAGTTTTTCTTCATGCTCTTCTTTTATTTCTTTGTTATTTAACTGTGTATTTTCTTTGTGTTCTTTTGTTATTTCTTTATCTTTTTGTGCTTCTGTTGCAGTTTTCTGACTTTGACCCTGTGCACTTTCTACGGCATTTGCCTGACTCTGACCCTGTGCACTTTCTATGGCATTTGCCTGACCTCTGCATTGATTGATGGTGTTGTATCCGTACGGTTTAAGATGGTACACAAGGTACTCCAGCACATACATCATGTTTGGATTAACATAATGAAAAGTAATTGCATAATCACTGCAGCAATCTGGTCCCTGTCAACAGAATCACAGAATTACATTAGCTTGCCCTGTCAACATAAACACACAATTAACATAAGTCTAACCTGTCAACAGAAACTCAGATTTACATAAGTTTGGCCTGTCAACAAAAACACATCAATTCACATCAGTCTAAGCCATTACATGCATCAATATAAACACACATTTACATTAGTCTAGCCTGTCCACAGAAACACAGTGACAGATTTACGTCAGTCTGGCCCTTACATGTATCAAATTAATATAAAGTATTAACACACATTTACATCAGTCTGGCCTGTACATATTTACATACCTGTTTAGCTGGGTAGAAACTGTAACTCCAGTACCACATATCTTTAGGGAGAATACCAGGTATAAGATGATGTTCTGGCACAAATGGCATGAATCTTTCCCTCTCAAGATCGTCCCTTGTATCTCCTGCCACTACTCCAAGTTTCTGCATGCATCGTCCCAGTTCCAGGTCCTCTGCTCCTCCTCCATCAGACCGACACTTAGAACTATCATCTATTCCTTTTTCTACCAACAGATTGACTGCTTTCCGACTAAGAACATACCCAGCCCCACCACTCATATAGCCCTGTGACACATAGGGCTTAAATCTCCGCCCATAATACACTGGATTCTCCGAATCTTTTTCACTGAGGAAATATCGTAAATTTTCTACAACTAGAAAGGTATCATCATCAGCTTTCATAAACCAATCAGCATCATCCATATGGTGTTTATGAATATATCTAAATGCCTCTTTTGTCTTAGCCCATAGGTTATCTCGTCCTTCCTGCACTGGCAGAGCAACAGCAGGCAAGTCTTTAACCTCTGCTGAGCTCATGAAGATCAGTTTGTTACAACGTCGACCCCATGTTGCTTTCACATGTCTTGCTTTTGTGTCAATATTTTTAGGTCCAGTCATTACCCAGCACAAAACACGAACTTTCTTAGCCAACATTTTGGCTTCTTCATTTGATTCCCCTGTAATGATAAAATACTCCACATTATTGGAAAAAATATACATATACACCATTTGGCTGAGCATGCATTGTGGTGTTCTTCAGGTTGGTTTGAACTTCTTGTATCACATATAACAGATAACACTAACAGCATCAACGGAAGAGATGTTTTTTTTTTCTAGAGCTATAGAACACCACTATATCTTAGTTTTGAGCACATTAAAAATGTTATCTCTAAACAGCAACATACACCCCATATGGATATGACAATTATCAGTGATTGGTGTTTACCCTTATCCTGATATAACATATTTTCATGCAAAATATTAGCTCTTCATGATCATGAAGTCAAGACACATTAAACCGCACACATGCCAGTTCATACATGATGTCATAAATACCAAATGTAAAACAAGTCATCAATCTACAATTCATTTTCTGGAGTTTTTCCAACTTTATAGGTAAAAACAATGGGTCTCACAATATAAAATTTAAGTATCTCCCGAAATTCTATGAGTCCATTAAAATTAAATTAGTGTATTAGTACACTCAGCTGGACTCAGCATTCACATGTACCGGGTATCACTTATAAATACTTTCAAATGTCATACAATAGTTATACTCAACACAGAGATAAGCTTTGCCAATAAAGCAAAAATTAACATTAGAGATCAGGAGAAAATGAAATTTCATCATAAGAGTGGAATTCACTATTTTAATAAGTCTCACTTAGTCTAGTGAGACTGGAAAAGAGTCAAGTATTCAACAGTGGCAGTAAATTTAGATATGATTCATAATCTGCACATGTGCATTAACTCTTGACGAATAAATGACACATCAGGTAGAATTTTGTTTAACATTTTGGAATCAAATAAAAAGATATGGTTTATATTGTAGCCTGTTTGGGCAGATACAGGCTGCTCAAATAATGTTATTTAAACTACATTTATGAATGTTGAGCTCATTTCTAAATTAAGCATTTAACAAATATGGTTATCTTTTTTTTTTTTTTTTTTAATTATCTTTTTATTTCCATTTTAATGTACAATACACATCATCATTATCATCATCACCACACAATCACCATCCTAATCATCATCATCATCATCATCATCATCATCATCATCATCATCATCATCATCATCATCAATCATCATCATCATCATCATCATCATCATCATCATCATCATCATCATCATCATCATCATCATCATCATCATCATCATCATCATCATCATCATCATCATCATCATCATCATCATCATCATCATCATCACAATTCAATATCATCCTCATCATCATCACACTTATCATCACTATAATCATCCTCATCACACCATCATTATGTATCAATCATCATTATCATCACATCACCTCCACTACCACCGCCAACTTCATCATCTCAAATCAAGATCATTGTCATCATCACCACAACCATCATCATCATCATCATCATCATCATCATCATCAGAAATGCTGACTAAAAAAAAAAAAAAAAGGACACAGATGCCAACAAATTTTTCAGATATGTATTGCACATAATTTACTGGACAGAAAAAAAACAGTGAGAAATAGGAAAAGCATTTAAGAAAAAAGATGAAAGAAATGGATGGAAGACTGAGAGGATAAGAATGGCCTTGTCAAGGGTTTGGAAACATCCTACTTTAGTATAAATATATATTATATATTTGAGGATAAAATTTACAAGTAGAATTTATCAGAATCCGACTACATGTCAATTAACCTTTTCCATTTACTCCATTCTACATCAAACTTCTCCTTAACAGTATCGCCCTTACTAACAGCAATATATTTTTGGACTTTGTAATTGTCTTTAATGGAGTTTACCAATGAGTTTATATGCAAAGAATTATGCAGACACCTCATTCTATATATGTACTGCTTCATGATAATTATAATTTCATTATCTACCCTATTGATATGGGAACTTGAAAAAATTCCAAAGAAGAAAGATTTTTTATTAATTGAAAAAGGAATAAGTAATGCCTGTAATAGTATTTCAAAACTTTGTAGTAAATTCTGTACTTCATTACATTCCCATAAAATATGAGTAATAGTTTCTCTTTCAGAGTTACATAAAATACAGAGAGGTGAGCTAACCAGACCAATTCTACAGAGAAAAGAATTAGTTGTCAGAATATGATGAACTACTCTGAACTGGAACCATTGAAGTTTTGAATTTTTTGTAGTATGGAAGGGGATCTTGAAAATTTTGGCCCATTCTTCATCATCAATATCGTCAAATTCTTGATTCCATTTCAATTTACAAGATGGTGCCACATCATTCTTAATCAAGATATCATAAAACAGTTTTGTACCTCTAACTAGGTTAAAAAAGGGTTGTATGTTTACAGGAATGAATGGGTAAGCTATGTTCGATAAAGTTAAATCATATGAAGAGATAAAATCTTTTATTGAAGATATGAAGCTGTGGTACTGAAGAAAATTTGTAGCAATGTGATATTTACGTGTAAACTCATTTAAGGTATAAAAAGACACTGGAGCAACTTCTTTTAAAACATCACATATATTGATCACACCCTTCTTGTACCAATCCTTGTAAAAAATAGGTTTCCCCCCAATACATATTTTTTTGTTATACCAGAGTGGTATTTTGGAGATTAACTCATTATTTTCCAAATTATCTCTTTGCACAATGAATTTATACCATGATTTAAAAACATCTTTCCAGAACTGATTTTTACATTTACTTATACATAACTGTATATATTCACTACCACAATTTGCCAGCAAATCAATATCAATATAGGTTTTTAAAATAGCCTGCCATTTTTCAGTGGTTTGAAATAACCTCCTTATCCAACTTAATTTTAAAGAGCTCATGAAGGCATCTATATTAACCGTCTTAAGACCTCCATTGACATGGTGTTGAACAACAACATCTCGCTTAATTTTTATAAATATTGAAATAAAATGGAATTCAATTTTTTAATAAAGTTTTCATTTGGATTTGGAAGTGAAATAAAAAGGTGATTAAACTGTGATATAAGCAAGGATTTGATGACATGAATTCTACCAATTGGAGTTAAAGACCTTCTGCTCCATTGTTTAATCGATGATTTTAACCTGATGAGTTTTTTGTCAAAATTCAGCTTTGGAATTTCATGAAGATTAACACTAAAAATAATTCCCAAAAGTGTAAATTTATTCGTTCCCCAAATATGGTTATCTTAATGTAGTTCCATTTGAATAGTTTTGAAATTTCATTTAATATAATTTAACACTTGTTCACAACAGCAATATATGTATATTGAAATGTGTATGCTTTTTTAATCAAATTGTGCTTGTTTTTAAGGCTGATTTTATATCATGGGGACTATCATAAATTCCTATTCTGTTATTGTTAAATCGTCAGACTGCTCTGACTACTACAGATTAATTATTTTTTTACAAGGATATCAATCTAACAGGTTGATCACAACCCAGATATGGGTCAGTAATAGCTCTGCATTTTACGACATTTCAATAATGAATTTGTAACTCAAATGTTGGATAATTTGAAATAGAAACACATAAAACTCTTTTAAAACTTCGCAAAAAGGGCATCATATATTTGACATGGTCCATTAACCAACTCAATATTGTACATTTTTACACAAAATGTGAATAAATCAGTTTTTGTAAATTAAATATAACAAACTTTATCAACTCCTTTGCTTATTATAAAATATTGTTGCTGAAAATAGAACACAGGTAAATTCATGCTCATTGATGACATGTGCACTAAATGCTCTCTCATTTGCTACATAATATAGTAAATGGGGAACAAAGTTAGTGACATTAATTGACATTATAAGTATAACACAAAGACAAATGTCTACATTGTCAAATTGGCTGTGGGCCATGTTAAAAATATGACACCCCTTTTGAAACCAGTGTTTAAAAGAAATATAGGTGTTTTTGTTTCAAATTACCCAACATCTGAGGAAAAGAAATTTGTAATTAAAGCAATTCACTGCAACTGTCACTAAAATGCAACTATTAACCATATACGTGACCCAACCTGTTTAAAACTTGAGAACTAAGGGGAAACCTGCGAGAATCTAGATGCCAAACAGGTATCAGTACTATCAAAATACCGTCCAAAAGTGCAAACATACAAACTGTAAATGTAGAATATAGTTAACCTGCGTGGCTGTGAAATGCCTGGTCGAACCAGAATACCGACTGATCAGGCCCGTTATCGTCATCCTCATCCATGTGTTGTTCGGGATGACGTGGTATCATGTTCTTCACGTACTGTGCACGTGACATATGTTTGGTGTTTAGCGGTGTCCATGATTGTGTCGTGGTGAATAGATATGTCAACGAGAAACCGAACACTAAACCAACTGCAAAAAGTAAAAGTCCTGTTCGCGTCAAACCCTTCCCGAGGGCGGCCATGTTGGCTAAAATTTCGGATACCCTCGTATCGTGTGTATACATGTAATTGATTAAGTATGAAAAGACCGAAGGACCAAAGCCTTGTTGGTTTTCATTATAAAAGAGTTGACATGACGCGGGAAATTTTGAAATCATATAATCGTAACGTGTCGGATTTTCTTTAAAATTTACATGATTATTCCAAGGGATGACTCTTTTCTCCACGTGTGATAGTGGGAAAGAAAAACATATTTTGGCGCCTCCTTCCAGGGGATGTGGTATTACCAGGATAAAAGTAAAATTAAGTTAAATTTAAATAGGCTTAATCAGTGTGGTAGACTGGTCCCCTCAAAATAAAAAAAAAAAAAAAACTGAGATTACTTAAAAGGAAAAACATCATAGATGTATCTATAGTAATTGTAACTTAAAACTGAATGACTTTGCTTAATCTAAATTAAAGTGTACCCTGCTTGAATATAGAAATGAATATAGTTTTATTTCTTATGATTCTTAATCACAAAGGTTGAAAACGCATCAAAATCGGCCGGCAAATACCGAGATATTGACGTGAAAAATGTACGATTTTCACCGACTGTACCCGATTTGCCCATTCAAAAAAAAAAAAAAAAAAATGGACAGAGAAAGTTGTTTGAAGGAGTAGTCTATTTGATGAGTTTACCTATGTTTACCTGTGTTGTTAGCCTATATCGGAAGCTTATATCATATTAATTTTTTTGAGACTTTAAGTTTTACATTGTAGTATTCTTGCTTCAATTATTAATTCATATGTAAATACAACACAGGAAATAATGAAAAAAATCAATTTTTAATATTTCATAATATTTGATTTTTTGGTGTTTAAAATTGATAAAGATTTCAAATTTTTTTTAAATGAATGATATGTTTGAACCAATATGTAGTTTGTATTTATGAAAACAAAATCTTCATATCATATGTATTGATATTATCATACATAAATTACCAAGTTGAGTAAATCTTGATTGAATCATTATAAAACTGGTAATTTCATGTAGTAATACAGTCGGTATAAATACAAATACTTTTCTTCTCTGTGAGATTTCTGCGAATGTTACCCACATCATTTTCTTCCATCGTTACTACCTACGAGACAACTACTCACCAATACCCACTCCAAAGACAACCACCTGCTCCGTGACAACTATCCACTACTTCCCACTCCAAAAACAACTACCTACTCAGTGACAGCTACACACTACCTCCCCCTCCAAAGACAGCCACCGCTCCGTGTCAACTACCCACTACTTCCCACTCCAAAAACAACCACATACTCCGTGACAGCTACCCACTACTTCCCACTCCAAAAACAACCACCCGCTTCGTGATAACTACCCACTACTTCCCACTCTAAAGAAAACAACCCGCTCCGTGATAACTATCCATTACTTTCCACTGCAAAGACAACCATCCGCTCCGTGTCAACTACCCACTACTTCCCACTCCAAAGACAAACTACTCGCTCCGTGTCAACTACCCACTACCTCCCCCTCCAAAGACAACCACCCGCTCCGTGTCAACTACCCACTACTTTCCACTCCAAAGACAACCACCCGCTCCGTGTCAACTACCCACTACTTTCCACTCCAAAGACAAACTACTCACTCCGTGATAACTATGCACTACTTCCCACTCCAAAGACAAACTACTCGCTTCGTGATAATATGCACTACTTCCCACTCCAAAGACAAACTACTCGTTTAGTGATAACTATGCACTACTTCCCCCTCCAAAAACAACTTCCTACTCCGTGTCAACTACCCACTACCTCCCCCTCCAAAGACAACCACCGCTCCGTGTCAACTACCCACTACCTCCCCCTCCAAAGACAACCACCGTTCCGTGTCAACTACCCACTACCTCCCCCTCCAAAGACCACTACCCACTCCGTGTCAACTACCCACTACTTTCCACTCCAAAGACAAACTACTCACTCCGTGATAACTATGCACTACTTCCCACTCCAAAGACAAACTACTCGCTTCGTGATAATATGCACTACTTCCCACTCCAAAGACAAACTACTCGCTTCGTGATAACTATGCACTACTTCCCACTCCAAAGACAAACTACTCGTTTAGTGATAACTATGCACTACTTCCACCTCCAAAAACAACTTCCTACTCCGTGACAACTACCCACTACCTCCCCCTCCAAAGACAACCACCGCTCCGTGTCAACTACCCACTACCTCCCCCTCCAAAGACAACCACCGTTCCGTGTCAACTACCCACTACCTCCCCCTCCAAAGACAACCACCGCTCCGTGTCAACTACCTACTACCTCCCCCTCCAAAGACAACCACCCGCTCCATGTCAACTACCCACTACCTCCCCCTCCAAAGACAACCACCGCTCCGTGATAACTATGCACCACTTCCCACTCCAAAGACAACCACCGCTCCGTGATAACTATCCACCACTTCCCACTCCAAAGGCAACCACCGCTCTGTGATAACTATGCACCACTTCCCACTCCAAAGACAACCACCGCTCCGTGATAACTATGCACCACTTTCCACTCCAAAGACAACCACCCGCTCCGTGATAACTATCCACCACTTCCCACTCAAAATACCACTACCCGCTCCGTGACAACTACCCACTACTCCCCTCTCCGTGACAACTACCCACTTCGTGACAACTGCATAAATGCAAATGCGCTGAAAATGACCAAGTTTCTTATAAACAAGCATAGTGAACGCATTCTGGCATTTGATGGTTACATGCATACCCCGTAAAAAGTGACTCGGAGGATCGACATCGATTATGCAAACACACCATCACATCTTCTTCACTTTCTCAAAAAGTGACGCTTATTTATTTATTTAATCGCGTTTTACGTTTCGGTCTTTCAGCGGACAAAAAAAGATAGGAAAAAAAGTAGGAGGGGAAAAGTTTTATTAATGGGAGAGAGTGGGATATAGAGATGAGGTAGAGAGGGGCCGTCTATGCTACTTGACCTGATATAAAACTATAATTTAGTTCCTAATTGTATACCTAGCCTAACATTCAGCACGACACAGCAAGAAGACCGATGTCAGGACTGAGAGGGAGAAGAATGGGTTTCTACATTATGTAAATTCCGATATGTTGATTGTATTTTTGAGGTCCAGTAAAAAAAACGCTCAACCGATCGAGCTAAAGAGAAGTACTTTCTAGCCGTGCTGGATATTGCCCTAAGTATCTACCAGAGTTACAGTTATATTATTGTATGTAATGTGTATCAAGAGGATAATGTAATATTGTATTTAATGTGTAGAAGAAATGTTACATTATTCTGTGAATTTCATTTCCGAATAAATGTAGAATTACATGTAATGTGTATCGTGAAATGTAATATTGTATGTATGACATGTCGACAAATGATAAATGTGTATCATATCATTATTTTAATTTAAAAGAAATAATTCTATTTAAAAAAATCATCTTTAGTAACTCGGGTAACAGATAACAGGTAAAACACAGGTAAAATGAACTCAGGTATATGATAAGTTGGGACTGACTACGACTTGAAGCAGCCGTCACGGACAGCAACGTTAGATTGCAAAAGAATGTTTTATAGTTTTGAGAATTTAGAAAATTCTGACGATGACATTGTGTAAACGGTAAACAGCCATATGAAATTTTTTGTTCTCAACCCCAGAACAAGAGATGAGGCACCAGTTAGATACATTTATATAAGAAACAATTAATATCATGGAAATATACATACATCAGAATGAAAGTGAAAATAAAACCCAAGAAAACAAGAAAAAAAAACTGGTATGTGAGAGAAACGTTGCAACCACAGAAATAAAATTTCAAAGCATCATTTCCTCAAAGACTGATGTATGGAATGTCAGTGTGTGATACGGGAATCTATGTATGGCAAGTTAAACTGATATTTACCAACGGAGCAAAGGATCTTGTATAATTATGTGTCGATAACCTATCTGTTGGATCAAACAGCGAGTGCGAAGAAATAAGGGGCATAACTCTGCTAGGTATATTTAGAAATTTCTGCATATGTTTGGAAATGGTCGAGGGGAGATAATTCCGAAAACACCATTTCCGCCTTTGAAGATTGAAGCCATGAACCACGCATTTCATTCTATCAATGACTCGCCATAATTATGACGTCACATGACATGAAGTGCTTTCCTCCTTATCATTTTCTGATGTTCTTTCTACTCATTTTATGTTCAATAGAGGAGTAATATTGTGATGTGATTAAAACATTTTACGTTGCAACTAATACAAGGCATTGGTGGTGATGTCTTCTTTGTTTTTTGGAATGTTTGGAAATCTTTTAAGTAAATGTTTACATATGATATCAACTTACTGATACCGTTGCTAGATATTTTCTTTGTACACCTAGTTCAAATTATAGTAATCTGCCACTTGTCAGCAAAATTAGTCATCGTCCATTTTTATTCATTATTGGACATGGTTACCATTACCATCACGTGGAGGTGTGTGCTTTCAATATTTTTTATTTTTAGGACGCACTGTAATATACCGTAGAAATGGATGTTTAACTAAAATTGTGTTACATCTTTATTTCACCCATTGCTTACAAAGCCCAATACCAATGATCGAGTAGATTAATCCCAGTATTCACTTCTATCGTTACCTGCCCGGTGCTGTAAGATAGGTGGACAAGCTTATCGACTTTCCACACCGTATCGACTCCGCATCATTTATATGTTAACTTTCTCTGGGCATTGACCGGACATTAATTTAAAAAAATATCAAAAGGCATGGCCTGTCGTATCCTTATCATAATGATCGTTTAACGAAGTATTCCCGAGCTTGGTCACGTGGTACATAACTTAGTTTCGTCACTGTGACCGTGGTACATAACTCAGTTTCGTCACTGTGACCGTGGTCACTTCAAACAACTCACAATGAGCCAAGCTCGAACACAGTGATAGTCAAACATTTCTCCACAATGACTCACACCGAGTGAAATTCTAATACAAACATACAAAAAAAACTTTCCCGTCGGGTGAATTAACATATATCAGTGTAACACTAATTAGATTGTGCCTTTACTGGACAAATACTGATCAAAATGCCGTTTATTTACATTGTGTGTAACCAGGGAATCTGGTCAGTCATTATGAATCACAGACCAAAACTGTAAAACAGTGCCACTAGCACACCTGAGTGATGACCGAATAACTGCTGGTGTTAATTCCTAATTGTAATAGCTACCTGATTGACAGGTGATATGTTGGTGTTTTTGACGATCTGTTGTGTGTATCGACATACCTGTCAGATCTTCCTTCAGGTAAACACTACGATGACATAGGTCTCATGACACGATCATGTTGAACAATGGAGTCACACGTCGTGACGTGATCAATCCAGTTGGAACGCCGCACTATTTTGTAACTCTGTGCTGAAAAGAAGGCTCATCGTTTGTAAAATCACAAGTTTTGTTGTATTTATCTTACACGTCTGTTGAGTTGTCTCTTTGTATAACATTATAGCGTACATCATATCGGTGTTGCTCCGCATTTAATTATCGATACAAATTAATGGGTGGTTAGGTTCTGAGGTTTGAATTTTTCCATAGTTAAGGTATATCGTCAGCTGTAACATTGTTATCGCCTGTTCGCGCTGATTATATGAAGAGTGTTAACACCTGTCCGGTATATGAAGACCCTCAGCAAGCCGTTTTCAGCACCTGTCATATGCTGACGTTTGGTCGGACTCTGTGCCCTCGCCTCATCTCAGTGGTTTGTTTGGGTGCCGCCAGTCAAAACTGACTCTAACGGCGTCGTTTATCATAAATCATAACTAGGTATATACATGATGCAGGGTTTTCACAGCTGGCTGGCTTCCAGATGAAGACTATACATTGAGAAAATTAAACCAGCAAAGACTGGAAATTGTACATCGTTGTACCAATATGTGACGTCATTTCACAGCGCGTGGAGCGGAGTTCCTGGAGTACTATTACACAGAAAGATTTCTAAACATCTGTGCCGGGAGTTAATTCGTGTGAGACAGGAGCATACAAACATGTATTTCGTATTGCGATAGAACGGCGGAATAAGGTTGTGTGAAGGTGGTCTATGTTCAACGGAATATTACTTACACCTCAATGGAACTTACGCACGCAAGTAAATCAGCACAGCAGGTCAAGGGTCAAATGTAAGTAGTTTCAAACATGCATGACCAATTATCGTTGTGCATAGATCGACTACATAAAGACAACAATGTCCCTTGGTCAGTTTGTTTGACAGATTGTTAATTATATATGATAGGTCATGAATCTAATTTGTGGTATAAGTCATTACCAGTTAGAAAGAAAGTGTACCAACTGTGGTTTGGTCTGGTACTGTACGTGTGGTATTACATGCCTGAGTGATCAAACCTCACTGAATCTGGTATCGTATAAGCACAGCTCCATCTATAACACGAGTTCATTTCAAACTTCTTACAAAAAGAATTATTAAGTAACTGAAAAACTTAATCCACAAGTTAGGCATTGTTGTTGCGAATTTGTGTTCAGAAAACCAAGGTCAGACAAGACAAAATGAGACCGATCTTTGGACAGATTCGCCTTGATCTGTGCCCGATAGGATTACCCCAGCACTAGTAGACTTGTAGAAGTATGGGTTACGTATATGATATGAACATTGGTTGTTGATTGGCCTTTACTGGCGATGCTGTTGGATTGATATTATCGGATCAAGATGAAGAAAACATGTTTATCTGACGCGAGTAATTTATGATCTTGGTATGTATAGTCATTGCACTGTAGTGATTAATAAACTGGTTGATAACTGAAAATGTAGCTAAGGCATAAACCCTACAGAAAACATTGCTCAAAGCAGAGTCTCTACTCAAAGGTTGGTATTTTGTTTTGTGAACTCGAAATTAAAAGATACTTTCATAAATGGGTACATTGTCGGAAAGCTTAAAGCGACTAAACGGTTAGATTTATTTTTTTTCGTGCGTTTGATTCCGGGCAAGCATTGTAATACTTAAAATTAGACTCTTCAGAAAATTATAACATTTTGAGAGAGATTGATAAAGATTATCAGCTTCAAACTAACGCTAGTCGACACTCGCTGTTGTGTCTACCACCTATCGGTGTTTTGATCGGAGATAGCCGAGTACATCTAGTGACCTTTCGTAGCCTCGTTTTAACACGTCGTTTTGATATGATTTCTTACTACTATAATTATGTAATTATGTAAAACTTCATTGGCTAGTGATGTTTCAATTCCTACTGTGTAAAATGACCTCTTGTTTCACGCTCTACGCGTGACAGAGACAAATAAATGAATTTGAATTAATCTGAATCTAAAATTGCATGTGCAAAGACATTGTTTACACTCTCCGAACGACTCGTATGAATTAGTGTTGGGTCACTCCTGTTTTATTTCAATTTTTTGACACAATTTTAATATAATGGTCACGCAAACTTTAAAATATCATAATTAACAGAAAGTACACAATATTAACAGATATTTAGATGTTATAATGCTTTTTATCGGTTATGAAATTAATGTCTAACCATTTAGTCTCTTAAAAGCCTGACCATCCACAACACAATTGTATTGAAGGCGTCGTTACGTCACGTCAATGCTTTTTTACTAGGAGTCCATATTACTGTATGTCATGAAACTTGTTATAAGCTTTTATAGCTCGCTGAGAAGATTATTAAAAAGCAAACAAACAAATGACACTTAACACCCGGCTCTCTATGGTATGTACAGAAGAGTACCGTATGTTGATTAACGCCTCTAAAACGTCTTATGATTTTCTGAGCTGACAGGTCTTTAATCACATAATAGATTAGAAAAAGTTTTCAGTACAATGTGATTGTGACGTCATTACATGTAAACGCAATAATGTAACACGCTAGCTTTTCATTCTATGTCATGATGGGGAGAATAAATTCGGAGATGAGATGAATTAAATTAAAGAATGACGTTGTTTTAAAAAATGGTGAAATTATGACTTCTCTTACCCACGCTATTCGTCCAATAACAGACACTTTTAGAGTACAACTTTATAAAAAAAAGTTATAAATTACATACATTTGTATGGCACATGCCTTTATTTCAATTACAAACTTTCTGTTTGTTTTATTCCTTGTAAATGCCATGAAATCTGATGGAAGTCAGAAATCTTGCCCATACGTATTCTATTTCCATAATATAAAATTGTGATTTAATGATCCTCTGAGCAAAGGCTCTGTCCCTCTCTGTGTGGTTTGTGTCAGTGACCGAATCGTAATACCTGGAGGCCAAAATCAATATAATACTTTTATTTCTTATCTCACAATTTTTACGACCAAATATTAATAGTAACCTGTATTTTATTACCTGATATTAATAAATTAGCCCTATATTTCAAATTAAGAATTCAGAGCACACTCAGTTCGGCTCTCTACCAATTCAGTTCAATAGTGGTTTAGTTGACAGGAAAATAGATGTTATCTGATCTTAATGTATACAGATCAAATCTACTCCGTTTTGTCCTATGAACTGACGAGCAATAAATACTGGTTGATATGTAACCTTTGACCTTGTCACTATTAACATTATTAATACATGTGGGGTGTAGATAAAGACACGCCATTGTAAATAAGAGGTATACTGTGTGATTACTACGATTTGTGGGTAAACTGTGTGATTACTACGATTTGTGGGTAAACTGTGTGATTACTATGATGTGTAAGTATACTGTGTGATTACTATTATGTGTTGGTATACCGTTTGATTAGTATGGTGTGTGGGTAAACCGTGTGATTACTATGGTGTGTGGGTATACCGTGTGATTACTATGGTGTGTGGATAAACCATGTGATTACTATGGTGTGTGGTTGTACCGTGTGATTACTATGGTGTGTGGGTATACCGTGTGATTACTATGGTGTGTGGGTATACTGTGTGATTACTATGGTGTGTGGGTATACCGTGTGATTACTATGGTGTGTGGGTATACCGTGTGATTACTATGGTGTGTGGGTATACCGTGTAATTACTATGGTGTGTGGGTATACCGTGTGATTACTATGGTGTGTGGGTATACCGTGTGATTACTATTGTGTATGGGTATACCGTGTGATTACTATTGTGTGTGGGTATACCGTGTGATTACTATGGTGTGTGGGTATACCGTGTGATCACTATGGTGTGTGGGTATACCGTGTGATTACTATCATACATAGGTATACATTCTAATTTCTATAGTTTGTGGTTATGATTTATGATGTAGAAGTTTCAATGTTGGTGTCAGGTTTCAATGAGATCACTATCAACGCTATAACGAACCCTACACTGCCTTGAACACGTGCTGAGTTAGGTACACGCTAATTGGCCGTACCGGACAGCGTTAACACGTACATTTGATTAGTTGAGAAATAAATCAATGCATGTTCACGTCTGGATACAGCGTTGTTTAAGGATACATAAAGGTTGTTCGTTAGTGCAAGCAAATGGCCAGGGCACACATTCATAGCAGACCTTGGGGTCTAGGCATAGGGGCAATTTTTTCAAGACACTGTATAACTTATTTTAAAAGCATAGAAGAAGCCAACAACGATTTTGAAGCACATGAACACGCAGCACAAGGGTTAGGGGCATATTTGCTTTAGAAGCAAGGCAATGTGTTTTACTTATAGCACAAGAGAAGGCCCATGTTTCATAGCACTCTAAGGAAGTACACTTGATATAGCAAAAGAACAGTGCTTAGGAACAAAGCAAACTTGTTAAAGCACAAGGGAAAGATAAATTCTGTTTCTGACGAAGTTTACGAGGTGTTAGTTTTAATTCAATGGCGTGTGCTGAGCTTAATTTCCCATCGGTGTGATATTTCCATCACTACTGATCACCACGTTCATCTTGTGATTGTGTCCCCCTGTTGGTAGGTTCAAGAGAACTTCGTCACAGACCTGTTATGTACGTGGACCAGTAGAATAGGTAGGCGGGTTCTCTGATCACTCTGATTCGACTCTCTTGTGCGAAGTAATTTAAGCATATATTTTATGTACTTCTTCAGATAACTTATAAACATGTTGCTTCACATAATGTTATTTCTGTTGTTTACGCCAAGGATAAGACTTACACACACACCAGAGACGATGTCGCAACTAATCAGGCGTGACTGGCACAAAAGCACGTGAATGATGCCCGAGGGTCGTAAACATTTAAATGATTGAATTCGAGAGGTATCCGATAGGTATCCGAAGTACACAGTCTCAAATTTATGACAAATCAGCGACGTGCCATAACGACACAAAAACAACTAGGATTTTTCTTGTTTGATAACGTAAGATTAAATTGGAATGGAAATACCACGGCAATATTGCTTTGTTTAAAAACATCTCATTGTATATTATATATAGTCATCTATGCGAAAAGTGGTCAATGGAGGGCTCGACTACATGAAACTGGTAAAATATGATCTCCTTATAGAAGCTGGTGGCAACCTCACTGAACAACATACCGGAGGCCCGTGGCATGTCATCCAATGCAATTTGGGTATAGTGTCGTGCCCAAGGATACATTAGCAGAGTCTTGCCCGTTTCTGAGCTTCGAAACGCGCATCCCGGACCTGAGGTTATTCTCGGTGAAAGTGAAACAAAGGGAAGTAACTCTAATGCGCGAGGTTACGTAGGCAAACGCTTTATCGCGACCGCTCTATAATTTGAACATGATGTAGCCTGTACGTATAGAGAGTAAGAGATTGGTAAACTGTTACCATTTATGTCAGTGACTGAGACATCATCATTGCATGATTTTCTATGTAGCTTCTGTTAACTGAATTGTAGACACGTCCATTAATACAATTAGGAGATTAATGATTAAAACACTTCAAGAGAAACACCTACCTTTGCCTATACATGTATGTTGCCGGTGATTATTTGATAGAAGAAAGTTACTTACTATGTATTTAAAGGGGAACATCCTGAAAATCGTGTCTGAAAGTTTAGATAGCACATTATGTGGGAGAATTGGATGTCAGAGACCTAGATTTTGACAGATCTGTCTCGCGTTATAGATATGGTGTCATCGTAAGGTACGATGTAAACACTGCTGGTGACACTTACCGGGGATTTCCCTAAGCTTTAGATGGACAGGCATTGTACAGACTTATAACGGTCAACTACTACAGTATTGTATAGGAACTAAAGA